ATCTCTGGTGGTTAACAAATTCACAACAATTAATTTATGGGATTTTGACCGCGATTACAAACAGCATGACGATAGATCAAAATGGATATAATATTATCGTTATTCAAATATACAGGTACATTTATATTTAATGAATGTTATTTTATCGAGAATCTGTTTGTTTTTTTTATCGCTTGTGATTTACACATTATCTATACTTCTTTTTATACAAAGTGATCAATCTATCGTAAAACACTCATTATCTCGGAAATCATTAAATTTTATGGTAATTTGTTTTACATAGTATTTAAGATACAAGCAGCTATACAATTTTACATTTATGTTATTTTTGGAGATAAAACCACTAACTACTTTTAATTTTCAAATGGCAACCTGTATTAATAATTCCATACGTGGATGAAGTATTAGTTAAAACACATGAAACATGTGTGGACATTTTTGATTTCCGTCGATCCGTTGACACATTGAAGCAATGTGTTTTAAATCTTTAAAGCGGTTTTATGTTACGCTTGACCAAGAAGTTGAAGTTGTCTGCATCTCTCAAGTCTATCTACAGTTCCTTTGTTAGATCCCTTCTAGGGTATGTCTCGGTACTATGGGATCCCTTTACGGATGTGGATTCTTCTCTTATTGAATGTGTCTAGAGAGGATTTTTAAACTCAGCAGCGTTTATTCTGAAAATTAATCATCCTCCCCACGACTACCAACTAGTTATGCATAAACTCGGTCTTGTCTCTTTAGCTGATAGAAGAGTTGAGGCTAAATTGATCTTTTTACGCATAAAAACTATTCAATCAAATTAAATGATGTATTGATGCTTCTTCCCTATTTTCTCAAGTTAATTTTAAAGTACCTTCCCGTCCCACCAGGTCATCTGCTCTCTTCGCTATTGCAGCTCATAATACTAATTAGTAATTACGGCAGAAAACAGCCAAATTATAGGATGATGCGCCTTGGTAATGAGCATCCTCACAGACGGCACGGTGTTTGTTTTATACCTTCATGTGAACATTGGCCGACAATTTATATTAATATAAAGTTAATAANCGATATTTTGTCGGTGATGCCTTAACTTGAATACCATCTAAATTTCAAACTTTTCCGGTAGATTTTCCAAAAATCGTTTTTCATAATAACCTTACGAATACACGACAAAAAAATCAGGCATAACGGTTCGTCCGTTTTCAAGTTATGGCGTCGGCGAAAAAATATCAATTCATTTATACATACCTATATAATATAAATGTGTGTATTTGCCGATATATTCAAAAGAATAATAACTCGATTGTGTCACTCTCTTCAGACGCCCTCTGATGAATATGTATTTATTAATTTTCTATCAGAATGAACATTTCAATTTTGGGACAACTTACACGGAATATCTTACTGATTATTCATTTTTTTGTTTTTTAATTTCATCCGTATCACCAAGGTAACCCATAAATCAACAAAAAAAAAAATAGCTGTACTAAAAATATCAATTATTCTGTGTCAGCTACCCTTGCAATGCCACCTATCGGGTCCAATTGCGAATCTAAACGATCCGGGGACCAATTCAAACACACATAAAAAATTTCGTCAAAATCAGTCCAGCCGTTTAGGAGTTCAGTGATATACACACGTACAGTATAATTATATATATATATGTATATATTGTTATTATCTGTACCTTATTATATTACTAAAGTTATTTAAGCTAACTTCACTAAATTTAAAAATTATAACTCGTTAAGTTGGGTAAGTGGAACACCCATTTATAGTTAATCTAATCTAAATACATATTTTTGTGAATTATATTGGGCCCAATGCCCGTAAATAAATAAATAAATAACTAAATATACCTACATACCTAGATATAAACACCAAATTACGTGTTTTATACGGAGGAATTTGATGTTTTATTAAGATAATATTTATGTGGGTGCCACTAGTTCAAAAGACAACTATTTCACCAAAATTAATCACATATACCCATATACGTGTATTTATTACAAATATTTAAGGATATATTTAATATACCTATACTTCGCTTAAATGTAAAGTATTTTTGGTGAATATTTGGTGTATAATTTAGATACTTTTGGTAAAAATAACCAGGTATTCTACGTTTATGTTAAGTATATTTTCTGTGCGGAACACATATGTACTTGGTGTAAACTAAAAATGTTTTTGGTGTATAGTAAGTATATAAAACTTATAGATTTGGTGTGTTACATCTTATATGTATATATTTGGTGTATAATCTGAGTTTAAGTACAGTTCGTGTTTAGTATATTTTACGTTTATGTTTCGTATCCTCACTACTTACTGGTAATCCAAAACCAGTGTATCTCTCAATTTCTTTTTTGTGTTTTGAACGTGTCAGTATGGAATAAAAGCAAATAGGTGGAAAGTGGGTAGTGCACCTTCGGCGGACTAAAAGTATTCTGTTATAACATATATTTTTAAATTTTAAACATAAAGTCTATAGTCTTGATCAGCAGAGTTTCATTACTACGTACCAAGCGTACTTTACCTTGGCATTTGCCGTGTTGCATCCTATATTTAGGGTTACCAGATTTCAAAATTCAAAATACGGTACTAAAAAAATGTCTATTTCAAATACAGTGAAATCTCCCTTAACGGACACCTCCATATAAAATAGCGAACAAGAATGGGTATCATTTTTTGAGAATTATGATTAGATTGATCAGTCATAATTAATACAAAATTGCACTTGAGTAAATCTTTTTTTAAAATATTAACAGCATAGGGTAAAAATACATTAGTGATGACAGATTTCGTTTTAGTTCTACCACAAGTAAATTTTTTCTCATATAATTTACGAACTAACTGAGAAGTACAATCCATAGAATTGAGACATTGACTGTGTTTACAAGTATAATAAACAAAAGTTCCTTCATATGCGGCTAATTTTTGTTCTTTATCAGCAAATTGTGTTTTGGGAGAAAAAAAATTTGACAATTTTCGAGATTTAGACGCTCTAGCAGCTATATTATGTCATTCCGATTTTAAATGTTGTGTAATATCCGACTTACCACCATGTTCAATGCTGAATGCTGCTCCACACACAATACATTCAATTTTATATTCTTGTCCTGGTTTTTGACATTTTTTTTAAGAATGTGTATTCACTTTGTAACTTTTCATTAAATGTGCACTTTCTTTTGGGCATTTTAAAAATTAAAACTTAACTATCATATTATTATGTTATAAAAACGATTATAGACTAATGTATATTACTGTGGTCTGACCAGACAATGAATTATGATAGAACAGATAAGAATAATAATAATTTTCTTATCGACTAATCTATTTTATAATAATATGCGATTAATAGAAACGAAATCGGTATCGGTCATAGACCTATAAAGACCTATATAGGTCTATGGTATCGGTCGGTATGGTCATATGGTTATATTATAATCTTCTATTATCTATGTGGCCGACGGGTAGTGATAATGAATAACAAGTAGGTAATTGTTATCTCAAAACGAAAAAGAATACAATATATAATATGGGTACATATTTTAGCAAACGGGACATTTCAGTGTCCCGATAAGAGTTGTCGGGACAACGGGACACTTAGTCAAAAAAAGGGACATTCCCGTATTATACGGGACGTCTGGCAACCCTACCTATATTAGATCTTTGTTTAGGCATGAGTAAAACGCAAACAAATTTTAAAGACAGTTTAGAGTTTTATTGCATAATATAATATGACACATAGATCTTTATAATTATTTTTATTAATATTAATTACTACAGATACCATAAAAACGTTTTGACAAACATTTTAAATATTTGTTCATTTCATCCGTGTTACTAAGGTAATCCAAATAAATAAATAATAATAATAATTGATAATAATACCTAAAAACCGAATTTTGGGGGATGGTTTTCAATAGGGAATGGATGTCAGTAGTTATAAACCTTCTCCGTGATGAGCCATTCAATAAAAAAAAAAAAAAAAAAAAAATCAAGATCTAATAAGTAGTTCCAGAGTTTACCCTGTACAAAGATTTTCATTTCACATTTATATAGTTAGACATACAATCCGTAATGATATTTACAATGAGTATAATGAGCTCGTTTAGATATATTAATAATGACATGAATGAGTGAGGAGAGAAGCTACCCAGGAGTAACACTCGGCGCTTTTGCAAACTTTATGTCCAAAAAAAGTTGATAAGTAACAATGACATATTATGACAACTGCACATTGTAGATTATAAAAAATTGAGTATTGGCAAATAACCGCTAGATGACAACATTAGGCAGTTTTGTCCATAGAATAATATAGTACTCTATGGTTTGGCCGTATCTACATCCGTGAGCTTCGGTAAGTACGAAGCCGTTTTTCGGCATTTCATGGCCGAATTTTTGATCGTCATCACGCAACCACCATTGATTAAATTACACTATATTTATTAACAATACATTTAATTGTATTTAATTATGAATGATACTATCTTTAAATCGTGATCGTGTCCATCTCTAAATAATAGCAAACAGTACATTATAGTACATTATAGTAATAATTACCTACATTGTCAATTTTATCCTTTTCCATATATATACCTCACACAGTTACACATTGAACTCCAAATTATAACATTAATTATATGTTATAAATTATAATCACGAATTAAGATATTATAATATACACATTTCACAGATGTGTTTTATAGCTATCTAGTGTACATCTTAATGTTTTTAATATTGAGCTCAGTGACCTGAATGACCACACTTGTTTTGGTTTTAGTAAAGGTTTCTCGCAGATAACGTTTATCAGCCCTTTTTTATCATTGAAAAATTCAAATATTCGTTCTTATCGCGTTTCGTAGTGAATGTGAAAGTATTCGCATTCGTATAATGTATCTTGTTATCATTACAACATATTTCTGTTACCAACAACTTACCTTGTACCTATTATAGTAATTATGTTTTTTTACCTGTTGCCATGATTAATGATTAAATATAATATATGCATCCATTAATAATGCATCGAAACCTCGAACGCTCTGAATTAATATGCCTAGTATTGCCAGAAGTGTAAGACAGTAGACGTTCCTCGCGAAAATTCATGTTTTTCGAATAAAAAAATAATTTGATATTTCAATTTAAATACTTTCTTGTCGTACTATATAATATACCGTTTCAAAGTTTTAACATATTTTATTAAATCCATACAAACGTTTTGCTATTTTGAATATTATATACAAGGTACGTTAAATGTTGATGCATGCATATAGTTTTATCGGGATATGTATACAATAATAATTGTAATAATTATGATTTAATTATTAAATCATACATAATATATTGACATGCTATAATTTATGTAGTGAAGTTAACATTGTACTTGTTCTACATCGTCACAATAAGAGGAATTTTACAAAAATCCTATCAAAGTTTAGAAAATATTTAATGATTGTAACACAAATCAGATTATCTACTTGGTACTTATGATTTTATTATACAAACAAATATTTTCAATAATGATTTGACTCAATTTAAAATTAAAATATTTTTTGTTACTTAGTAGATTTACCTATATTTAATTTACTAATTGGAATTCGCTGAACATTTTAAAATAAGTTGTACAATTCTGTGTGATACATGGTATGTAAGTTTTGATTTAAAATATTGATTTGTATTGCTTTATTATTATTTCATATTACCTGTGTTTACAATAATTGTATAACGTAGTACAATGAGTTCACATTTTGGATTATGTTGTATATTATTTTGTTTCAAATAGGTGCAAATAATAATAGGTACTATTACCTACATAATTTAATTTTAATCACATTATAATAAATGGTTATTATGTACCTATTTTACTGGGTTTGAAAATATTAGTTTATATAACTTAAAATGAATATAATTTTAAATTATTCACATTCAATAACTACATTCCATTAGATACATAATATTTAAATATTTTGATAAAAATCCATAGTTATAGTTGTGTTACTATTGATATTAACTTTTAATGTGAATCACTGTAATTATATTAATTTATACTATGCTCTATGTCCTAGTTTGACCTGTTTCAAACGTTATGCTACTGGTTGACATAATAATGGATGAAAATCCATTATTATAGTTGTGTTACTATTAATATTAATTGCAATGATTACTTATATTAATTCATAATATGCCCTATGTCTGAAATGTGACCCGTTTCAATTGTTACTATTGAAACGTCATCGGTTGACAACCATTAGTTAATACTAAGCCTAGATACAAAAAGACAATTTAGTTTTTTGTTTGGTTGGTACTCGTCTAATGGGTGAATGTTTGTTTTTAGTGTTAACATGTTTATAATTAGAAATAGAATAAACCTAAGTATTCAAAGAAAATTAAAGTATTCAAGATTAAATAACACTGAGGTAACTTTCCATAGTTTCACATTTCCTAACAATAAACACTATCAAATTAGTTATATGTGCACATACATACATATTTTTTTTAAGTTTTAAATCCTCCCTTCCTCATTTTACTTCTGCAGTATATGATTAAAACTTTAATTCATTTTTTAATTATAATAGTGGCACTTATAATATGTGTATGTGTGTGTTGAATCATAAACTCTTCTAACCTGTTAACCTCTGAATAAATTAACAAAATTAGTAACATAATAGTTAAGTAATCAAAATTACACTTGATAGGTATACCTTCCATATAACCACCTTTATTTTAAAAATGTATTCTTAAATAATATGATATTGATCATGAATATACAATCAAATTCAGTTTTAGTTTTTGGATTATAAAATTAAATGCAATGTTTTTTATTATATGATGCAATTTGATAAAAGAATGAAAAATATCCTATTTATTTAAAGAAAAAATGTAATGTAAGATTAATAAGTACATATTTGCTATAGTAAAATAAATACAAACTTGCTATAGTTGCAATAGATCAACATAAGAAAAATAACCAAACTATTATATTAAAGGCCTAGCAGCCTACTGATGTTTTCTTTCTTTATCTAACAATTGAAATTTAAACCAATATCCGTTTAAACAGTTTGAATGATACTAATATAAAAAAGGTCAATCAAACTCAAGGCCTATGGTAATTTTTTGAATTTAAATCCTTTTAAAAAAATTAAATTTGAAAATTGATAAAATTATATAAAAAAAAAACCTGATATACTTCGCATGATGGATGGGCCACTGTTGTGGGTGAGAAGTTGGGAGGATATGATATAGAGGTGAATTTAATGTATATCACTACAGTTAATAATCGCTAACAAAAAACGATTCTCAGCGGAGTTCAGTTATACATGTTTTGTAATATTTACAATTTTCATTAAAATATTGTGTAACAAATTTTTGCATTAAACTTAAATTTTTTTTTTACCATAAAGTACGACCTGTAATGAACTTTCTGATAAATTTTTAACCATTCCTGTTTTAGTCTAATAGCTTGATTCACAGGATACCTATCAAATACAAATTTTATAAAAACTCTTTTTAATTAAGATGTCTAAAACAGTTCAAAAATGACACAAATATTTTGAAAATTTTACTACGTTTAGAAAAAGCAAATATAATTTTTCTTTTCAAATTTCAAGTTTCTTCAGATAAAAAAAAATAAGCATTGTAAAAACAATACATTTCTCGCTTTGCTCAGAATCTAAAAAAACTAAAATTAATATATTATTATTATTAATTATAAATATAAATTTTGAATAGACTGTTTTATATAATTGTAAATATTATTTAATATAATTTTATTAGATCACAATGAAAACCTGCTCTGATATATTGGACGATTTTGAGTCTGGACCTCTAGATACTTATAGAAAACGTTCTACAATTGATTGGAAAAAAATGAAAGTTTTTATAGAGACTGAAGAAATTTTACGATACAAGGTAATTAATAAACAATGAACGTAGAATGATAATTGAAATCTGTATTTTTATAATATTATAAATATTTGAGATGAAAGCCTGGAAAAAATTTGAAGACGATCCACTTTTTCAACATTCTTATGAAACACTACCATTAGATGAACAAAGACGATTAGCAGTGTTAAGAATGTATAAAATTGTAGAATCAAATCTATTTCCATTTGATGAAATAATAGTTAGACCCAGACTTGTAAGTTTAATTTTAAAATAAACTTAATTATTTTTATAGTATACATAATATGTTCTAGTCTATGTCAAAAATTGTAGCACTTTTTCAATACTGCCCATCTGTTGCAATAAAAGTTGGGCTGACATTTGACATGTTTAGCAATGTAATATTTACTATGGATAATGGAAGAAATTCCGATTTATATCAAAATGCTCAGGATGGAAAAGTAAGATTCATTTTTAAATATAAAACAGTAGACATTTTAGTATGATAACAATGGTAAAAAAATACAAATCAAATTATTATTGTTAATAAACAGGATATGAAAATTATATTATTTTTTTATTACTGCAGAAAACAATTTTAATACTTCAACTCAAATTACTCATTCAACTGAAATTGTTTTTCACTTTTTGCTCCACTAATTATGAACTTATACTCTTTTAGTTTTTAAAAATTGTCTTATTAATTTAACCTTTATTTACTACTCCATTCATTATTTTTTAAGGTACAACTGTTATACTAAATATGTGAATAACTTGTAAAATATAATATCTGTTTTTGTATGTTTGGGTTTAAAGGTAAACCTGTTAATTATATAAATACACAATGCTGAAATAATAGCAGAGTAAATTAAAACATTAAAAAAAAAATGATTTGTTTATTTGATTTTAATATATAATATATTAGTATTTTAAAATCCCAGGTATTCTTAATAAAATATAAATATGCTTGAATATATTTGTTCAGGTCCCTGGTTGTTTTGCTTTAACAGAAGTTTCACATGGTACAAATACTAAAGCAATGAGAACCACAGCATCCTATGATAATGATTTAAAACAATTTATTTTACATACTCCCGATTTTGAAGCAGCTAAATGTTGGGTTGGAAGTTTAGGTAAAAATAAATTCAATAATATATAATATGGTTTTTTTTGGAAAATGCAATTTTAGTAGTTAAGTGTTATTTAATAACGTAAATTAAAATTTTATTTAGGAAAAACATGTACACATGCAATAATTTGGGCTAAAGTAATCATGAATAATGGTGATGATCATGGATTACATGCTTTTGTAGTTAATATAAGAGATCCAAAAACAATGTTACCTATTCCTGGTGTCACAGTTGGAGACCTGGGAGAAAAAGCCAGTCTAAATGGGGTTGATAATGGGTAATTAATATTATTTATTTAAATTTTATATTACAGTATGTGTCTAATGTTAATTTAAAAAATATTTTTTCTAATAGATTTATAATGTTTAATAAATTTGCTACGCCAAAAGAAAGTTTACTTAGTAAAACAGGAGATATAAATGACAATGGCCAATATATTTCTCCATTTAAAGAAAAATCAAAACGACTTGGTAATATATTTTTAATTATTCACAATTTAAACCAGACCTACTTTTTTTTACTGAGGGCCATAAAAAATAATAATTCTTGCCGGACTAAGAATTTAAACTTTTACTTTTCAAGTTAATAGAATATTATATTTTATTGTAGACAGATCTTAGTATAGGTACAGTGTTAAATTTTATTATTTATTACGTATTGATTGTTATAAATGAAAAAAAAAATGTAAAGTACAAACATATTTTTTTTTTTAATTTTGATTTAATACACTTTGGTGGGCGATTACTAAATGATCGCGAGCCGGATTTAACCCATGGGCCGTAGTTGGTTACCACTTATTTAAACAATATAATAAGATAATTTAATATATTTGAACAAATTTACTTGATAAACATTACATGTGAAAACCTCACATCTATGGCCAAAATAGTCAGTAGTCAAAACTTTTTGTTAAGAAAAATTATCTAAGTTTGTTTGTTATTGCCATATTTATCTGGTATATACTACCAGATATGTTTTTTTAAACATAGTTCATACACTCTGGAAAGTATTTAAGGAGAAACTAGGGAGGAATTATGGCTACACCCATTCAAATGGGATGACAAGTGATTGAAAACTTCAGAAATGCTTTCAAGAGTGAATCACCGTTGAAAGCCGCCATTTTAGATTTGTAATATTTAAAACTTGATGTAAATAACTAAATTATCTACTGAACCTAACAATATAAATCTTATTTTTATGAAATTAATAGTTTTTATTCTACAACCCTTCAAAACTGATGTGTATCTTTTAATATCTCTTAATATACTTTTACTGTATTAAGTTTTATATATTTTAATACTTATTTGTAAATTATAATACATTATATTTTATTTTAAAATGTATAATTGTATTTTAAAAATAGTTGTAGCTAAGTATTATTGTGTTTTATTTTGTAGGTGCTTCATTGGGAAGTTTATCAGCTGGTCGATTAAGTATTGTTAATATATGTGCAGCATACATTACAAAAGCTGTTCCAATAGCTATAAGATATACAGCAGTCAGAAAACAGTTTGGTCCTCCAAATTGTGAAGAGTTACCAGTTTTAGAGTATCAATTAGTAGTAAATATACTTGATATGAGCTTTTCAATTATTATTGAATAATATTTCAAAATATAAATTTTTTTTTTTATAGCAATGTAGATTGATCACAAATTTAGCCGCTGCTTATGCAATAAAAATGTATGGCGATTATTTAGCTAGAGTTTACGAATCATTTTTATTTGAGATGATGACAAACAATGGTTCAGAAAAAAATGTAACAACAAAACATTTTCTAAAAAAATATATATTTTGTATATACCCTTCATTTGTCTAGAGATTACTTGGCATAGAAATTCACGCAGTGTCTAGTTGTACGAAGCCTATTGCATCATGGACAACTCGAGATGCGATACAGGAATGTAGAGAAGCATGTGGTGGTCATGGGTATTTAAAAGGTAATTTTTAACATGTAATGAAAATTTGTTCTAACTATATGTTGTATAAATTTATTTTTAATTAGCTGCTGGACTCAGTGAACTTCGTAACGCAAATGATGCTAATTGCACTTATGAAGGTGACAATAATGTACTGATACAACAAACAAGTAATTGGTTGCTAAATATCTGGTCAAATTTACTGAATGGAAATACAAATTGTTGTGATACTACAATGTGTACAATAGAATTCCTTAAAGATGCTGAAAGTATATTAAACGAACAATTTAAATTACCTAAACCATATGAAAATTTTACTCATAAAGGTAAGCACTTAATTTAAATATTTACATACTATAATTGATTATTGTTAACAATTTTAATTTGGATTGTTTCAAGATTTATTATCCTGTTTTCAATGGTTGATTTGTTACCTATTACGACAGACATATACACAATTACAACTGTTAAAACATCAAAAAAAAGACGAATTCACAGCAAAAAACGACTCACAGATGTTTTTTGCTAGAGACCTATCGATTGTATTTGCCGAAGTAACTATGCTAATCTATGTTACTTTTTTAAGACATAATTTTGTAATATTTTTTTTTTACAGTATCTCATTTTAAAGAATTTTATCGAAACCTTATCATCTCCAGATTTAGATGGCCCACATCAATTAGTTTTACATAAACTTGCTTCACTTTATGGACTTTGGCTAATTGAAAAACATTTATCAATCATTTATGAAGGTACATATATATATTATTATATTTAGTATGAATAATTGTATTTTAAAAGTGTCTATATCAAGCTTGTTAATTATACAATTTTTAATTTACAGCACTAATAAAACTTTTAAAGATTTTATATAATAGTAATTATTTGCTTTTTTAAAAGGTGGATATGTGAATGGACCATTGGCATCTGTAATGGTTAAAAAATCCATAATAAATTTATGTTTGAGTCTTAAGGATGAAGCAGTGACACTTTCTGATGCTTTAGCACCTCCAGATTTTATACTAAACTCAGTGATCGCCTCATCAAATGGAAAGGTAAATTTATTTACAAATAAGTATCTTTATTCTAAAAAAGTATAAAAAGTATTAATTTAAGTAAATAATAATCAAATAATGAATATACTTCATCATTTTAAATTCAATATATTGTACTGGGTGATATTAATAATACAATTAGAGTTATTATAAAACATCTCTTATAATTTGACTTAATTATTAATGAATACAAATATATTGTTTTATTTTTAAAATTGAAATCTTCAATTTTGAAGAATTTTATAATTTTATATTGGTATTGTTTAGGTGTATGATAATTTGAAGAAACTATTATTTGAAGATAAATCAACATTTGAAAGACCTAGTTGGTGGTCTGAGATAGCAATGCGTTCAAAATTATAATTATTAAGATATGGTGAAGTTAAAAAATCAAAAATTAAGTATTCTGAAACAAAATATATATATATATATATATTTTAATAAAGGTCTATAATATATGCTATTTTACTGAAAATGTTAAAAATTGTTGTTGTTATTATGTCAAGTAAATGTAAAGTATAAAATATAGCATACTTTAAAGTTCATCGTGTCCAAAAGAAGAATCTTGATAAAGCCAATGACGGTATACTTCTATAGGATCGATCATCCAATGTTTATGAAAAGAAACTATTGGATAAGATTCCAAATATTCATCAGCATAATCTTGTGGTCTGGCCTGTAAATGATTTAATAGTATGTAATATACATAATAATATCTACATTTAAGTGTTACTGAACTTGATGAAAAACTGGAGAGTGAACCACAGTAGCATTTAAACCTTTTAAACACATGCCCAACACCATATCATCAGGTGCATTAGGCGCATAACATTGACATGTAGTCAACTTATGAACCAAAGCTACACTGAATATAATACCCCCTCCACCTGTTAAATAATTGTATCCTGAAGACTGATCTTCTCTAACGTTGTACCCATACCTTTGTCCAAGTGCAATTTGTTGGCCATTCCAACAACTCAGTATAGATGCTAATCGAGGAACACTAAATGTTTACAAATGTAATATTATTTATTATTTATATTATAGATTTTTAATTAAACTGTAATTACCTCAAAAGAGTATCATCATCCACTAAAGCAATCCATTTGATTGCTTTATTTGATAACAGTTTTTTTGATAAATATTTAAAAATTGTAATTGTCTTTAAACAGTGTCCTCTTTCAGTATTTACAACATCTAATACTGTAGTTGGTATCGTATCCTCTAAAATAAAAAAAATATAATTTGTTTTGAAATTATTTAAAAACATTTACTTATGGTATAAATTACCAAATTTATCACTAAAGTATTCAATATGTAGAGTGTCTCGGCCCCAAGTAGATTGTAATACTGGCACCCTATCCAAGTGATATTTACTACAAGTTTTTACAGCAAAATATATTGAATCTTTTGTCACTTTTCCATAACGAGTCTTGAATAAAAAATATATATTATTAGGATTTTTAATATCTAAATTAAAGATATTTCTTACACATTCACTTCTTTCAGACAAAGGATGAACTATACAATCAGGAGATAGTTTCAAACAAAATTTTAAAGGTAGATGTTCAATTTTTTGATCAACTGCTAATGCCAATTCGTATGATGCATCGATTGCAAAACTTGAATCAATAGCTGCTACATTTTTATCAACTATACTAGGAAAACATTAAAAAATACAAAACCCATTTTAAACAAAATATATTATTGGATATTTTTATACTGACTTTTTTAACAACTCAACAGAGATGAGAAATCCTGCAGCAAACAAAGGGTATAAAAGTCTTTTTTTCTCATCTTCTTCAAATGCATAATGGTGAATTATTGTTGGATGTTTATCTTTTACACCATATCCCATCCACACAGACTGAACATTTTAAAAACAAATTAGATATTTCAAATTTTGAGCAAAACAAGGAATACATTAATTTTACTACGATTTGTGGTTTTTAATCTGTTTTTAAATAAGTTTCTAACCAAAAGACTTGCTTCAATCAACTTCAGAAGTGGTCTCTGGAGTGAGCAGGAAATATTATCTAATTGGAGAATTAGGAATATAATTGTTTAATATTCTTTCGAGATTTCCTTAATAGAGGAAAACCAAAAAATTAAGCTATTGGAAAAATCTAAAAAATTGTAATTATTAATTAATACAATGTTAAATTTAAATGTATTAACTATTTTTTGTTATATATAGATAGTATAGAAATGTAATCACCCCATTTATCCTACCTTTCCAACTTCTAACCTTAAACAGTGGGTTCATGAGTATCAATCAATATACTATTTTTTTATTTTGGGATTAAATGTTATATAGATTATGTTTAACAATGTGATTAAGGTGTTAAATAAGAGTAAGTCATATTTGAACTATTTGATTAAATATGAATCATTTTTAAATTATTGTAAAAATATTAAATGCTTACTTCACTTGAGTTTCTATCTTTTAAAAAATTTAATAGATTATTGTAATTCACATAAGAATTTTCTTCACAAAACAAAAACCACTTTGAGTGTATATTATTGTGATACAACCTAAACATTTTAAAATAAATTATATTGAGTAACTAATTTATAACTATAAATAATTTGAATATTACGATTTTGCAATTGGAAGAATTGTCCAACTTCCAGTCCCGGGAAATTGTTCATGAAGCATGTAAACTCCACCTAATCGGGAGTTCTAAATACAATAAATTCAAAACATATCTGTCATTATAAAATTATAATTTAATATGCAATTAATTATGTGGATATACTAACTGTATTTGACCTAGTTTGTTTTAAAATATTATTTTTTAAAATTTTTGCTCGCTCCGCATGGTAATCGTTGTTTTGACTCAGAATCGTAATCACTATGTCAGATGATTCTGTAACAGAACGTTATCGTACATAAACCTATAAGTAGGTAACTATGATATATGTTTGAATACGACAAAATATTACTCACCTAGCTCGCGGCATATTGACAACGAGTATAGGAAAACGAAATAAAAATAATATAAAAACATGATGAACTTTGTTGAAAAACAATGACGTGCGTTCGTTAAATCAAATAATAATTGTATAAATGTTACTACATAATAATTGACAAACAATGACTTAAAAGTTTGAAGTTAAATTTGAATTCACTGTCCCGCCAGTCTGTATGTTTCTATGACTACGTTAAACGAAACAAATTCAGATTTGAATTATTATTTATTTGGTAAAAGAAACTCGATGTCGTTGGATGTTTTGACGATCAGACTCGTAATTCTAGAACAGTATAATATTACAATACGCGTATAGAGATTTATAAATATTTTTTACTTTTTTTTTTCCACAAACGAAACGATCATTGACGGGTTAACAGTCAGTCTGAGATTCTTCGAGTCTTCAATGATCACTGGTCAGTGAACATAATACTGTTATCACAAATCACAATCATATAAATTGCTATCAGTTGGTTTTTATCAGTGTATTAGAAAAACAGCTGGATGCTGTGGGAATGTTTTTTTTTTTTTTAAAACCTCTAACATTTTTCTTTTTAAGTGCAAAGACAACACTAAGCTTGAACTATAATAACTTGTTTAATAAAAAAAAAAATTTAAGTTAACCGAGCGCGTAAGATCATTGCGCGATGTTGGCTGTTTTTTCGAAATGTACCCTGCAAAAAGCGGGTTCGTACACCATGCGCCCGCTGTCCACTGTGAATTTCGACATCCAACACAAGCATCCGCAAACCAGGAAACAAGCTGGATTGCCCAGAGCCAGGTAATTTTTGGTCCGGTTTTATCCGCACGACGATGTTTACCGTATAAAGTCAGTCCCAAAGTTTCGGTAGTACGGTATTATCACGGACGATATCCAATTGCAGCTAAAACTCGTTGCAGTCAAATTACAACATTATAATATTGTAAAACGTTTACGTGTTTTATAATTTTTTTCAGATACGGAGGACGGAACGCCGTCACTATGCTGCCGGGCGGAGGTATCGGGCCGGAATTAATGAGCTACGTGAAGGAAATGTTTTTACACGGCGGAGTACCCGTGGATTTCGAGACGATACAGATCGACCCAAAGAGTGATAATAATGACGACCTACAATACGCTATCATGTCCATTCGCAGAAATGGCGTGGCCATCAAGGGTAACATCGAAACACGTAGTCTTGACACCGGGATCATATCACGTAACGTGGCGATACGTAATGAACTCGATCTGTTTGTGAACGTCATAAATGTTCAATCATACAACAATATACCAAGTCGTCATAAAAATGTCAATTGTATTGTTATACGTCAAAACACTGAAGGTGAATACGCAATGTTGGAACACGAAAGTGTAGACGGAGTGGTAGAATCTATGAAAGTTATCACCAAAGAAAATTCCACACGATTGGCCCGTTATGCATTTGAATTAGCAAAAAACAATGGTCGCAGTAAAGTCACAGCAGTTCACAAGGCTAACATTATGAAATTGTCAGACGGATTATTTTTAGAAACTTGTAAACAAATGTCATTAAACTACCCTGACATTAAGTTTGATCATATGATCATCGATAACTGTTGCATGCAACTCGTTTCGAACCCTCATCAGTTCGATGTAATGGTCATGCCTAATTTGTACGGTTCAATTGTGTCAAATGTAATTTGTGGTCTAGTTGGTGGTGCTGGCCTAATTTCTGGACGGAACTATGGTGATCATTATGCAGTTTTTGAGCCGGGTACTAGAAACACTGGATCGGCTATTGCTGGTAAAAATCTTGCCAATCCCGTAGCTATGTTAAGTGCATCAGCTGATATGTTGGAACACTTGGGTCATCAAGTACATTGCAATATAATCAGAACGGCTATAACTAAAACTCTTGATGAGGACATGGTGCACACAAAAGATTTAAATGGTACAGCAAATAGTTCTGATGTGGTCCTTAATGTTATTAAACACGTCAAAACCATGGCAAACAGGCTTTAACTTAAGTATTATTTGAGACTTAAATTATTATTGTTTTGAAGATAAAATTATTCATTGACTTAATATCCTAACTACACACTTTTTTTTTTTAGTATTACCATTATAACATGAGTCATTAAATAAAATGTTACCTATTCATCATTATTGTGTTTTTATTATGTAATTTAATTAAGCCTAATAAAGAATTGATGTACTTAGTATAATATGAATATATAAACAATCACGAAGTATGATTTGTTTTAGTTTTTAATACGTTTTACAATATAGTTGATAATTTTAGAGATCGTTTATTGACTGTTATTAATATTAATTAGCTACATCTATCAATGTAATAAATAATTAAAATCTGTAATTTTTGTAATAACAAAATCTTTTGTTTATACATTTCAATATCAAACAAATTATTTTGTATTAATAATAAAAAAAAAAATAATACCATTCTAAAACCTAACAATAATTTATACAGTGTTTATGGAATAAAAGATTGAAAACAATGAAAGCCCGTACAATATGTATTTATTTATTAAGAAATACACGGGCTGAACTCCTTAGTACAAATTATTGTATCATTCCAGAAAACGTTACAATTTTGTAATAAAACAAATGAAAAACAAAAACAATTAAAAATAAAAGATCCATATTGGCATGAGACATCAAACGTTTTATTTGTTGTTCCATTACTCATGTAATTAAAGATACTTACTAAATGGTATGCAGAATGAAGAAGAGACACAAATGGATTGTTGGGAACTTTGAAGTTAATTTTAGTATTTTGTACATAATCTGTTAACAGACCTATTAAACATTTGGTAGTGCCTGCGTTCTACTTATGAAACTAAACCAAGATGATTGGCAATATAATAATAATCTTGTGGCGGATAAGCAATACACAAAAAGTAACAAAAATATCAAATCTTTGATAACCTCTTATAAGCTACTAAGCGTTATCAGCCGTACTTATATAGGTTCCAAATTAAGGTACCATATTATTCAATTATAAGCTAAATGATAGTGCAATAGAGAAGATTGAATCCTCTTTCAATTTTAAAATTGTTGGCCAACCTTATCATATCAATAAAGCCAGGGGAAGTTAGGTGTTTTAACCCCTCCACAAAATGCTTTGTTTTTTTAGCTGCAGGTAAGGTTAAATAGGTTGTAGAACTCTAAATCTCCTATTGTTAAATCTTGGATAGGTACACCATTGGTCATAACTAAAGACTAAAGACTTTAATTGCATTTAAAATACACAAAATTGCATATTAAAATTATATAATTGTACCAAAATATACGTAAAAATTGCATAATAAATTTTACTATAAAAATGTATATAAAAAAAAATTAGATAAATGTTACTTTTTCTAATTGAAATTGATAATTAGATACATTTCTAAATTATTTTCATTAAATTTAAATTTTCTATTACTTAAAATATGTTTGTACAAACAAAGACTACGTTCTGCGTCTACACTAGTTATTGGTGCACATTTAAAACAATTTATTAAAGTAAGCGTTATATCTAAATTAACACTTGCTTTACTTGACATGACCTCATAGTAAGACTTTAAAGTTCTATACCCTCAATTCTTTTCAATTGCATACATACATTTGTCTTTAATTTTTTCCCAATTTGGACCAGGAATATTTGTTAAAATATTTTCAATTTTACTAAAAATATCTGCTTTTCAGTTCACTATTAGATTCATCAAAACTTTTAATATTCATGGATAAATTTTTGGATTCACATTTGACTGCATTATTTTGTACAATCTGTTTTAGGTTTTCGACACTTGTGGCATCATCTGTTAAACTTTCAATCACGTTTTTAAACTCTTCAAAATTATTTGCATAGAAAAGTGCAGCGTTTGACCATGTTCCCCATCTTGCAATAGTAGGCTCGGGCGGTAAAGGTGTACGCAACATTTCTTTTCTGTATTTATCTATACTCGATGGTGCCGAAATATATAAATATATATATAGAGAGAGACGTTTATCACTCGCTGGGCTCTCCAAGCTTCTAGAAAATTGCCTATGATTTAAAAACGTGGGAAAATTGCATTGTAAAATTAAATAGGCGAAATATGTTTAGTACATATCGGCTATACATTTAACCAGATCTGATTTATCTTTATTTCAAAAAAAGTTGCAATATCAATTAAATGCAGTCTTTAGTCATAACCTTAAATTAATATAATATCTTTGTAGTTCTAATTTTTCAAACAGTTTTACAAATATATAAAATACATTTTTGTGTTAACGATTTTTAAAAAAAGCTGATGCTGCTGATGTCTGTGCCACTGTTGTATAGGTGGAGTAGTTGTGTAGGTAACCAATAGGGTACCTATAAAGAGTAATCGAATTTAACTCTGTAGATGGATATGCAACGATAGACCATTGCGAAAAACGAAAAATTGTCAGTAAGTAGGTATGTAAACTGAAATTTAATTTACTTACCTTGCATCTTATACTTTCCATACATTCAGTGGCGTAGACAAGGGGGGGGGGCAGAGAGCCCATGCCCCTGCCATCGGACGTATTATTTTTATACTGATTTTATATCAGTTCATTGATAGATTATTGTATAATATTATATCCATTAGTACGTAAGTGAATATATATATGATATCATTGATTATAAATACTATAGATTGCTCACTGGACCGTTTTACGTTGGCGTAAAATAGAACTCCCGATAGATGGCGTTATGATTATTATTACAACATCAAATTAAATGAATTCGTAAATAATAATTTTGTCGTCATAAAGGTCGGCGAAACCCGGTTAGCGGCTATCTGCTTATGACCGTGGTATGATATTATTGATCGTATCGATGATGAAGAAATGCGTAATAATTATACATGTTACTGTACGGTAAACATTTTTATCGTATTCATTGTATTATTTTATGTTATTCGTTACACGAGTTTTATAGTATTGTCTGTTAGTCCGGTCAAAGAGTAAAATCGGCGAGGGATACATTTGAAAAATTCCGAATTTAACGAAACTTTGGGATGTTATTGTGGGTGTCCAGTAGTGCTACACCCCTTTTTATTTTCATTAACTTGGTGATTTTGAATAATTGTAAGGGAAAAAAACGGGCCGATACACGGGTGATGGGTGCAGTCATTATTGTAGGCGGACAGTTAACAGCTAACTGTTAACAATTATATCATTTCATCATAAAAAAATTATAGACATTTATAAAAAATTGTACAATACACGTCATAATAATATAATGATTCGGATTAGTCATTTGGATTTGGTGTTGGCTGTCGCCGGGAGCCCGGAACGGCGTCCTGTATACTACTAACGACTATGACGGCACCCGCCATTTACCGTGCACCGTATTTTCTATTGCAGTGAGCAATCTATAGTATTTATTAATCAATGATTATATGTATACACGATATGTAATTAACAAATATGTTAATAATAAGTGCTGTAATTTAGCATTTATATTATACGAACAACCGTTGGCTTTCTATGCATACCTACTGTTTCAGTCATTCATTAAACCTCTGTCTCCCATTTGTCTACATTTTTTTTGTTCAGATAAACGTATGGATAAATTGAAACATTTTACTGACGAAGGTATGTCAAAATTACACGAAAGTAGTGATTTTGATAAAAATTGCAATTCCAAGAAAAGTGGTCGAAAAAACAAAAAAAACTTTACGACACACGATGGATCGATCGACATGATTCACTTATCACTTATCGAGTGCTATAACCAAGAGTGATTTTCTTGTCTATCTGGAAGTAGCTGTTACTTGCTTCTCGTATACTGAACAATCAAGTCAAGCACTGCAAAGCAAAACAGCAAGACTTATCTAAAGCTTTAAATGATGTAATGGTTGTTAGAGAAGCTTTAGAAGCCATTCGATCCGATGCTGAAACATGTTTTAAAGAAATAATGAAAAATGTTAGCACATAGCTTCTGAACTAGACGTTGAAATGCGTACGCATCGAACCTGTGGGAGACAAACTGCCCGAAAATATATAAATGCCAAAGACGCAGAGGAATGTTATAAAATAGCAATATTTATACCATTTTTTGATAATCTAATTACTCAGTTACATTCAAGATTTAATAAAATACAAGAAATAATTAAACCACTAGAAGGACTCATACCATCTATTTTGACACGTCATAACGATCAATCGATCTCAGCAGCTGCTTCTACGTACGAAAATGACTTTTTAATTAGTATGAATTGATGTTTGATAGCGATGATAATTGAAAGAAAATCTACCAGAGACTGCTGTAGAAGCAGTGCACAACAACAACTCAAAAATGCACAGAACTTGTTTCCAACATAAACAAGATTATTCAATTATTTGCTATTCTGCCTGTAAAATCCGTTACCCCGGAACGTACGTGTTCTGTTCAAAACAGACTGAAAACATACTTACGAGTTACAATGAATGAAGAAAGTTTGAATGGTTTGGCATAAGCAGCAATAAATAAAAACGAATTAGTAGATGAAAGCATCGGAAATATTGAAAAAATCAGCTAGGAGGATAAAAGTTACCTATTGGATACAACAATAATATTATATTATAAACCATAAGAAATAAGTAACTCATTAAGAATATTTTACCTTAAAATTATGTAAGTTATTGGTTATAAATGAAAAGTTATTAAATATTTTATCAATTTTATTCATTGTATTTAGTATTTTATCTAGTCATATAAGTATACAAATTAATTTTTTAAAAGGTTTTTTTCATTACCCCCCCCCCCCCCTCAACCACTGAAAAATCCCGGCTACGTCACTGCACATATTCTACCTGCAACGATGACTTTTTTTTAAATATAATTATTTCTTCGGTTTTTTAGATTGTGAGCGTAGTGAGGTTTCTATAGGTTTTACTGTGTGTGTTTTTTTGTCGTCTGTAAACAACGTTTCGATTAGAAATATCAAAGAGACCTTGTTTTGTTGAATTTTAGATTTATAGTTGATCAGTGAGTAAATAATTTTTCGGTTAGGTTTCATAATAGTATATTATATGATAGCATTAAACTGCTATTGTGTTCCACGCCAAAAAAATGAGGGCGATAAAAAACAATCGTCGTTACCTTAAATCATCAAAACATTTTCTTTTTGAAAAATTCTATGCTTTGCGAATGAACGAACGTTTAACGATTAAATAAGAACCGCCCTCAGTATTTACGTTTAATGGGATACGTACGTTAACAATTCCGCCAATTTTTAAGATAAAAGGTATAAATATTTGTTTTTTTTTTCCACACGGTTCTACTATATAATATAATTTACATTGTATACCATATATTATACACATTGTATATCTACACACAGTACTAAATGAAACCTTACACGTTCAACTCTTCTTATAAACAACAGACTGAAGACGGGGTGACGAACAAACATCGCTATAAATTAATTTTGAAAACACGTTTTAAAACTGATGCGCAATAAATTCTAATATATATTATTATACAGTTCCGGGCGTATTTCTATAATATCTATCTAATATTAAAATATTTAGGTGAAAAAAAAAACATTTTCATTTATACCTATATTATTATTGTTATTGAAACAATTACACGAAAATCTAATAGATCATATTGTTAAAAACAAAAAAAAAAAAAAAAACATTAATAAATTAGATAGGTTTATACAGGAATTTATGGAAAAAAAAAAAAGTACACGTTAAACACAAAAAAGAAAAGGAAAAAAAAAAACGATACAATAATAATACACGAACACAAATGAAAAAAAAAAAAATAATAATAAATAATAATAATAATAATAATAATGATCATACAAAGAGTAGTTCACGATTGGCGACCGTTCGTTCAGATCGTACATAATATAATAAATATAGGTAATTTCGTCGAAAAAAAAAAAAAAAAAAAAAACAATATTTAAGTGAAACAACGTGGCGTTTACGTGCAATCGCGGGCCGCGACATTATACAATATACAATATACAATATACATGATTATAATCGATGGTCAAAAACCATTACGAAAGCCCGTCGGACTGTCGGCGAAAAACAATAATATTGTTGCGAAATTCGGCGTTGGGGGTGTGTGGGGTTGTTGAACACGTCGCTGACGTATTTGCGCGTTATAAGCGGGTACGCGATTTTTTATTTTTTTGTTTTTCGTTTTCAGGTACACGTTTTGCGGTTGCACGTTAATATTGTCGGCGCGCATTTAGCAGCGGGTCGGTTGTCGGAAGGAAATAAAAAAAAAAAAAAAACACG